GCTCACCTAGGGATAGCTACTTTACGGAGCCATTCCAAGTTCCTGAGTCTAGCCTTTTTCATAGTCTGTTTTCCTGTGTCTTGATCCTAGCCTGTTATCTCGTCCTGTCTGATCTCTGCCTGCCCTGAAGTTTATAGCCTGTCTTGGATTTACCCTTTGCCTTGCTGTTTCAGACTGTGTTTGCTCCTCGATTGGATTATTGCTTGTTTTGGATTACTCTTTTGTCTTGCCTTCAACATATATGTTTGCTGGTGTCCGACTCTTGCCTGTGTTGACCATGCCTGTAAATAAAAACATATGGATCCGCATGCCTCTCATCTCATCGGCTCCGTTACAACAACAAATGAAGACCAAATATGTGACCTATACAGACTGTGATTATTTAATGATTGATTGATTTTCCCCCACAGCATTTGTAAATATATGTAAAAAAAAAAAAAAAAAATTGTATTTGGTCATATATGAAAAGTACATTAACAAGTAAGCTTGTAATTATTGTACAATTTCTGTTAAAATCATTAGTATATTTTTAATAAAGTGCATGATCGTATGAATTGAAAGTTTAATGACATTTAAGCATTAACTAATGATCAGTTAAGCATTACATAATATTTGTTAATGATTTATTAATGAAGCTTTTAATCATTGTAAACCATCTGTCAAAATAATTTGAAGAGTTTTAAAAAAGTACATGATCATATTAATTGAAAGTTTACTGACATTTGTAAGAATTTAAATTTACCTTAACTAATGATCTGTTAAGCATTATATAATGTTTGTTAATGATTTATGAATAAAAGTTATCCTACGGGGCCATTGAATGCTTGAATCTGATTGGCTGACGAACGTTCTGAGGTGTGCAATTATTTTCAGGGAAACGCACAGCGAACGTAGTTCCAGGCAGCTCTCTTGACCGCATTACAGTTCCATATCACTTCGCATAGTTAACTGTAATAACGGAAATTAGCATACAGTTTCCTAAACGTGCTCGCACACGCACACTACGGTCACGCAGTTTGCACAAAAAGGTGTTGTCAGCGCTGCCCTGACGATTTTATCAGTTAGCCTAGTTAGTGTAGCAACTTAAAGGCTACACATGACATTTCTCACTAGCGAGGTAATAACAGCGCTGTTTAGAGACGCTGCTGCAGAACACTGTTGAGGGACGCACAGAGCTAGCCTAATTCACACAAGCTCTCTCTCTCTCTCTTTCTCTTTCTCTGTGTGTCTCTGTCTCTCTCGCTCTCTTTCTAATAACTTCATTATTAATAACTGCATTAGAATGCTATCAACTGCTCAAGCCTCCATTAGCAGCTTTAAAATGACGTTTTGGAACTAGCAAAAGAGGCGTTGGATGAGATGCGGAAGAAATAATCCTACTCACAATAGCGATTTAAGTACAAAAACTGGACGAATCCCTTTAAATATATCATCTGATCGATGTCTTGAGGTGTGGTAACCGTAGTATAAGCGGAATAATTGACTCCGGGCCGTTGAATTATTAGAAAAATAATGCACACCTGAGGTGTAACGGCCACTCCGCTTCGGGTCGTGGCCGCATCACCACCTCGGGTTTGCATTATTTTTCGAATAATTCAACGGCCCGGAGTCAATTATTCCTTACTTATTATAAAGTGCTACCCATAGAGGTTTTCACATGCGCTGTTAAAAGTGACCTTACCGCCCTCTGGAGTGGTGAAGTGATACTCCATCGAGCGCGGACCTTCACCTCTGCTGTTGAAAGCTGCAACTGTCAGAGTATAGTCCGAGTAAAACTGCAAGTTGCTCACGACCGTCTCCACCTTATTTCCATAAACCTCGATTTCTCTGTACTTGTCAGCCGCTGGAGCGTGCATCGGCAGGCCTCTTCGGCTGTGAGTTCTGGGGCCTTTCTTTCGCAGATGGATCTCAAAAAAGAGAGAGAGAAAATACACAGCTATGAGAATCAGCAGCCAAGTGCAGAAACTATAAATGATGGTTTATAGATCATGTACCTTGTAGCCGAGTAAGTGTCCGCGGACAGATTCCATGCTGACCGGACTCCATCTTACCAGGACAGAGGTTTTGTTCAGCTCGGTCACTGCCACCTCTGAAGGAGCTTCCAGAGGTACTGTGAGAGATCGACAGGCATTACTATAAAACTGTCAAAAGATTACTAATACTCTTTTCAAAATTAGATTTTTTTTTTTTTTATTTACTGAAAAATTATGTATCTGGAAAAGCTGGGAACTGAAGCAGGAAAATGTTAGAAAACGCACCATCTTCCCCTGAGTAGCCAATCTTAGCAACTGGTTCTGGTCCTGCACCAAAATCATTGACTGCCTGAACTTTAATCTCAAAGGGGATGAAGGTCCCGGTGCCGTTCACGATGAACGGAGGATGTGAGATGCTGCTTTCCTTCCAGTGTGGACCTCTGCCTGAAGCTTGACGCCAGTAGATCTTGTACTCAAATCCTGGTCCATTAAATTGCCATCGCTCCAGTTCCTTCCAAATGTAAAAGTGTAAGAAAGGAGATTAAACATGACGATTACATAAAAATCATCTTCTCTTTGTCATGTGTAATCTGGCTTTATCTTTGGAGAAGACTCCTGGAGAGCTACCATCCTGCAGACTTCAGCTCAAACTGTGCTCCAAAACTCCTGCCTGTAATGATCAGCACTGAATGCCTTCAGGAGTGTTTGATGAAATCTGCAGAATGGTAGCTGACCGGGAGCGGTGCTGGAGACTTTTCCTCTAGTGGAGGACTGTTAATCACCTTCCATGTGATGACCATACTGTTTGGATCAGTGGACACCGTCGTCACATTCTCTGGATTCATGTCAGGTACTGTGCGCAAGAGAGATCCATTAATACAATAAGGCTTTACTAATCAAAATGAACAAATTTCTCACAAATGATAATACTTGGGACAGAAAGGTTTTTTTTTCCACTGGAGACTTAGAAAAACATGCTTTCATGGCAGCTCCTAATTTTACGTTTTAGCAAATAAAGGTTTATCGGTGGTCATGCATCGCACCAATTCATACAAAATCACCACCTTGTAAAATAATTAGGTTCCCTTTCAAGGGAACTTCGAACTGCGTCCTCTAGGGGTCGCTATGGGGAACGCCTCGTCGTGACCCGTGTCTGAAGCATACATTGAAAAAACACCAACACGTTGGCCGGCGACAGCCCATGACATCACTTCATGTCATTCTCTTCTTCGTCTTCACTGACCGTTTTGTTTGAAGCGTGCATTTCCGTGGTAAGAGCGATCTATATTCCTATCGTTATGGCGAGCACTAGCAAAGCGTTTAGAGGGTGTGTGCATCCGCGTCGTCGTTATTTGACAGTTGATGACACACACAATCTCTGCATTGTTTGTTTGGGCAAAGAGCACGCACGCGATGTCCTTGAGGGGGCAATCCGCGTTCATTGCAAGCGTATTTTAATGAAAAGCTCCGCTCTCGTTTGTCTCTCTTTTCGAGGAAAGGGGGGCAGCCATCTGCTTCCCGCGGCTCAGGACCCACCGCTGCTGAGGCACGGAGGAGGATGGGCTCGTGGGGATCGCAGGTGGATCCGGCTGATGAGTTTAAAAAGGGGTTTTCCCTCTCACGCTCGTCGGCTGTGGACGAGAGTAAGCTGCTGGAGGATGATGTTATTTCTTTAACATCGTTTGATCCGGGGGCCGGTGCTCTGCTGGGTTCGGCCCAATAAGAGCAGGAGATGTCTGAGGACGGCGAAGAAGCTGAGTCTGAGCCTTCCCAATCCTCCTGCTCTGCGTATGGTGAGTTGAGTGTTATCTTTCTTACGCATTCATCGATGTGTGAGCAAATTTTTCCAATGCGTTATGTGAATAGTGTTTCGGGATTTCCAGTTCAAGAAGATAGTTTTCTTGGCGATGGCTAAAGCTACGAGGAGTATCCTTTTGTTTATTATTTCCTGATTGAGAGTTGATAGATCACCCAGTAGACAGAGTAAGGGGGATTTATTTATTTATACTATAGTCGCACCGGTAGTGATGTAATGGGCTGTCGCCGGCCAACGTGTTGTTGGTGTTTTTTCAATGTATGCTTCAGACACGGGTCACGACGAGGCGTTCCCCATAGCGACCCCTAGAGGACGCAGTGTCTCATTCCCTAATCAGGGAACCATGGTTACATAAGTAACCTGAGACGTTTTCTCACGAGATTGGGGGGGAACTTCCATTGCAGTTTTCCTTATATTTAAAGGAGACCACAGGTTTTTAAGAGTCTATGATGCAGACTGTAGACTGGATATATAAATGTATATTTTTCAGAAATATTTCAAAATGTATTGAAATACATGAAGTCAGAAAACTAATATCGTTTTCCATTTGAATTGTCTATTATTCTTATTTTGTCTTGTTTTAAGCAGAAAACTCACTTGATTTTAACACTTCTTTTTCTGAATCTTATGCCATTTTGCATGTCAGGGAAATGTTTTCTAGTCCAGTTATTTAAAGATTCATAAATCAAGATACAAGACTATTAAATACAGAGGATGAAAAGTCACTTTTGCAGTGAAAAAACCTTTTATATGTCTGTGTCATTATTATGATAAGCTGGGAGCTGTAAGTGTCTTACTGGCTGCTGGTGTGCTGTAGGACTCTGAGGGAGGACTGGGCTCGCTGGTTCCTATGCCATTAACAGCTCTGAGCCGGAAGTGGTATGTGCTGTACGACTGCAGATGGATCTCCAGGTGTCTGATGTCTGGAGGAACTCTACTGTATTCCTCCCACTGGCCTTTTTCTGGATTCTGCTCCTCTTTCTTCTCAATGACATACTCTGGTGGACAACAGATATGAAAGGTCACACAATCCAACTGTAGCAATGTCTGATTCATGGAAAAAAATGTGTAAAGTCAGGTCTTTTACTCACACATCAAATGACAAATGTCTGCTGTACAGTCCGGATCTTTTGTTTACAAGTAAGTATGGTTCTTGAGAAAACTCATTCCCCTTATTAAAAGGAGAGGGGTTTTTTTGGTTTTGTTTTGTTTCTTGGAGCGGCTCTGAGCACTCACATCGTTTCATTTTGGGGAAAAAATAAAATACTCCTCCTTCTTAAAGAAATTTGAAGTAAACAGAAGAATCCATCAATCACCACTGAGGAGCAGTGTTTTGTAAAGGGCTATGATGAGAAGCCTGCAGGAGTTTTTTTTTTTTTTTTCATATTACACACTCATGAATAAATTACTGACATTATAAGAAGTTTATAATAAAACAGAGGTCAAAAATGTAATAAACACTTTTCTAATGATGCTTACTGATGTCAATTGAATAAACTGAATAAATGATAGAAGAGGGTGAGCGGTGGGCTATTCTGAACGTAGTCAAAGATTTGGTTTCAGTTACCAGATACAGGACTGTTGTTTTCAGCGCCTGGCGTCCAGGATAGCGTGACACTATGGTCCATCTTTTCAGACAGCTCCAGAGAGTGAGGAGAACCAGGTTTATCTGTGGAGTGTCCACCACATCCATGTCTTTCAGAACCAGTGAAATGTAAAACCAGATTGTATTTGGTATGTGGGAGTGACAGACTCACCCAGCACGGTGATGGAGCCGGTGGCGCTGACCGAGTCTAGTTTAGTGCTGATCTCACAGCTGTAGGATCCTGTTTCCTCCATCTGAACGTCAGTGATCTTCAGAGAGCCGTCTGCGTATTCAGTGTATCTGCAGCCATTGAAATCGTACACTATAAACACCACTGCAATAAATACAATTCTTACAAGACGTGAGCAGCTGGTTTTGGCCACACTGAGGTTATAGCTGTGTGTGATGTTTACGTGCTCATGGGTTTGCTTTGCTCAGTTAGTTGCACACGCTGATATGGTATCTCGAAAGAGAGCGGCCAGTGGCTGATAAAATGTAAATTAACTTTTACACAATATTTACTCGAAATAAACAAAAATTAACAGAATCAACAGAAACGGTGCACTATTAACTTTGGCAGCAGTTTGACCACTGCCGATTAGCAGAGATATGGCTGGTTTGAAATGGTTTATGTGGTGTGTTTACTTGTCATTATTAGCAGATGATGTGATCTTGTGTTTGTCCTTCTTCCACTGAATTGTGGGTTGTTTTAACTTGTGGTCCACTGTATATTTGCAGTGTAAAACAGCATCATTTCCACGTAAAACCCGTAGATCCTGGGGAGGGTTCACAATCTTAGTTCTGTCTGGAGACAATAACATGAAACGACATTCATGAGCCATTTTACTCCATTAATGTAACTTACAGAAGAAAGATTCAATTTTACCCATAAAGTATAAAAAATGGATGTTCCGTATAGCACAAAGGAGCCAGACCTGAATGTGATTTTGCTCTAGGTTTTTGGACTACTTCCCTCCTTCAACATTTGAGGGAGCTTTTTGTCTAGGATGTGGATTGTTCTATTGCTATTTGCTATTGTTGCTGCAATTTCTTACATTAACGTTAACCAGCATTAAATTACTGCATAAACTATTTAGAAAAATGAACAGTACCTACACTGTAAAATCTAATTAGTTGGGCTTACTTAAAAAAAAAGCATGCAAACCGATTGCCTTGAAAAAACTATATTTGACAATTTAATTTGCTGTCTTGTGTCAGTAGTAGCACAACAAAAACAGCAAATAAAATGGTTATTGTTACAATTAAAGAAAAAAAATGAAATTGAATTGTTACCATTGTTGTGATTCACGTGCTGAATGTTTAAGTCTGTGTGTGACTTCAGCAAATTACTACACACTATTTAAGGATTAATTAAATGCAATTAAAAGCATCTCAAGGTATTTACGAAAATTGAAATTGGAAAAAGTTAATCAATATACACACGAAAGCTTTAATTAGAAAATATTAATTAGACCTTCCAAAAGCAACCTATTTATTACTTATCAGTAACTAATTAAATCTAAGTAAGGTAAACTATTGGATTTTACAGTGTACAACAGTAGCCTAAACAATGTCAAAAACGAGCTATTTGGCAAACATTAACCAAGAGCGAGTGTGGCCTTGTTGACGTAAAGCTCAAAAGAAAATAAAGTTCTTTCTACATTTTGAAAAGAATCCTTTCATTGTAACCGGTAATGTGTATTAAGCAAGCACATTGTCTAATTTTGATTGCATGTTGAGCGATGAGTTACTGTACCTTCAGTGTCAAATGTGATATGTTCACATGGATTTGGAGCACTTACTCAAGACCTCCAGCTCAGCACTGATGCTCCTGTTGCTGTGCCTCACTGAGCATGTGTAAATGTTGCTGTCGTCTTCACTCACGTCACTGATCTGAAGATTTCCATCGCTCGTCTGAGACATTTTAGCATTAGCCAGAGCGGGACCAGAGTCAAAAATCACCCTGCATACATTCAAACCCACTGGATTATACACACAAAACAACAAAACATCCTCCAGAAAAAAGCTGTCTTTTTCTTGAATTTCTAGAATTTCAGAATATGTGTTATAAAATAATTACTAATTATTAAAGGGTTCATGGATTTTTTATTCTTTTTAAATGTTAATATGTTAATAGGTTTACTTATAATGTTAGCTCAAAATCTTTTTTCCACAAAAATAAAAATATATATGTGAGAAATGATTCTTTTCGACCCTCATTCTGAGCCGCTGTCTGCAGTGATCTGTTTCGGGCTTGTAAACGGCCACTGTTATGACTGGCTAATGTCACTGCATAGGAAATAGTGTCTTATTATAGAAATGCTTTGTCTATAAGGAGGAGGATATTTTAAGCTCTGAAACTTGCAGAATGCTTTAATGGTACAAATACATCTTATCTGCCAAAAGCATATATCACGATCCCTTTAGTACATAGTAAATGTGTTCAGAAAATGAAAAAAATAAATGCTCACCAGTCAACTTTGGGTTGTGGGGAGCCAAATGTTCTGCATTGCAGTAGAACCCTTTGGCCTTCTGTGGCCTTGTACACAAGCCCATCTGCCGTCAGGATCTGAGGAGGCAGTTCTGACAGACAGAAGCTCAGCTTTTTATTAAAATACATCACGAAAAACAATCAACGGGCCGACAGCAGATTTTCAGAATGGCATGAATCAGGTACAAACTGTTGTTCCCTTTATTTTTAAGCACAAATCCATATTCTGACAAGAAATCACTTCATGTGGACCCATTCTGGAGTGATAGTTCCCAGCCTTTCTACAGCGTGGTGCGAACACATGCAAATAATCAAAGTGCATTTGATTAAATGTTACACTACTGATTCTCACCAACTACATGGACATGCGTGTTGACCAGGATATTGCCATGTTTATTGGTGGCCTCGCACTGATAGACCGCCGTATCGCTGTACTGAACGTTAGTCAGGATCAGTGTACCAGAACTCACATGCCGCCTCGCGTCCGAGTCCGTCCCTGCGACACAGAGAAATGAGGAAAAACTAGAGACTTGACTTGACGTGAACAACAGAAATCTTTAGATCTACAAAGAGAAAAGTGTCTCAAAACATTGCAAGATTGTTTAGAGTTATGAAGGGAGCTATTGGGTGGCATTTACAGAGGAAAAAATAATCCATTAATGCTGCTCATTGTTTTGTTTTGTTTTCAACTAGAACCTCACTTACTGTATTTCATTGAGACAATTATGAATTAATGTTCAAGACAATTTCTTGACATATACATTCTGTCACAGGTACTGTGCTCTAAGGAGACAGGCTCACGACGCAGGAGTAATCCAGCACACAATCTTTAATTCCAACTTCAAATCAGGAGAATAACCAGGAGACAGACAAATCACAGACATCAAAGAGCAAACTAAACATGACGGTGAATGGACAAAGACTAAGGGAGAACTGAGGACTTATAAGCAAAACCCAAACTAAGGGAACTAATGAGATGATTAATACAACACAGGTGGAAACTAATGAACGATGATTAAATAAAGGAGAACAGGAACTGAACCAAATAAGGGCAGACAGGACACGCGACACATTCATATATAAATATATACATCTACAAACACTTCACTGTTTTTAATTGTCTCTTCCTTTTATGTCCCTCATTTTTTATTTTAATGCATAACCATATTTCATTGTAACTAATTCTTTTTTTTTTTTACTTATAACTTTTATTGTATTTTTTGTTTCTGATGTTTTCCCTCCCTCTAGTGTTTGTGTTTGGTGGTTTTGCTTTTCTCTTCCCTATGACAGGTTGCAGCATACAGTATATGGTGACTGCAAACGTGTGTAATTTGTCTGAAAGTAATTTGTCTGCTTCTTGCAGAGGAAAGCCAGCAGTTTCTCTCCATTCTGTCTTGTTTTATTATTAGTTTTTATTTATTTCCTTTTATTTCATTCTTCTTTTCTGTTTAAATTTGATGAGGCAATTTATTTTATCGTACAAACCCCTGAAAACCGGCATGCTGGCAGCACAGTAGCAAGCCTTTAGCTGCCCAAAAGATGTGTCAACTAACACACCAGCACATATTGTAGTGAAACCTGGTACGTGTCACATCCCCAAGTTTACATAGACGGATAGAACTAATAAACACAATCATATAATTTCACTAATTTTGAAACACTTTTGAACACATAAGCAAGTGAGACTTGGCAATTTTATGGCACTATAAAAGAAAAAACATGAAAGTGGCTATAACTGCAGAAACTGCTGGTCCAATTAACCTCAAAACTGGCCTGCAGTGTCTTTGTCTGGGTTGCCATTATAATCATGAAAAGCATGGCTGCCATTGGCCAGTCACAAGACCAATCAGAAAAATGTAACCACAAGGTGACGCTATCAATGGTGTCATATAATGCAGCTTTTTCAATTATTCAATTGTTCAGTATATTTAATCAAGGGTTGTTTTTTCCCCCACAGTATGCTTGGTGTTATAAGTGGTGCATGCAACCATATTTCTTTATTGTTACTATTTTAACACTTCAGTTCAGAATAATAATAAAGTACATAAGAGAATGATGCTGAGACTAAAAAAATGTTTCTATCCCATGTGTTCCCATGTATTTTGGAAGCTTACTGACAGCTCTTTACATTGTATCAGCTGATCGGTCATGCAGGCTGAAATCGACGCATTGTGTACCTGTGATAGGAACACCATTGATGCTCCAAGTGACATTTGGGGTGGGTATCCCCTCAGCCTGACAGTCCAGTCTCACAGTCTCTCCTGGGGCATACAGGTGGTCTTCAGGCCACTTGTTCCAGTAAGGAGCAGCTGCGATCCATAAAAACAACAGAAACGATATAAACTATAATAAAAGTAAAATATAATATCATATATTATATAATATACTGTGACATCTGGCAGTGTCAGGACAGAAAAAAAAAACATATGAATTAACAGAAGAGATATTCCTGTGACCCTACAGAGGTTTGGAGAGCGAATGAATGGATGGAAGAGATGTCTAGTAAGTACGTCATGCAAGTGTCTAGATAAACTGTAAAAGTGCCGCTGTTTGCGTAGTGTATTCTGTAGTAACAATCTGTAACAATAAGTTACAAATAAAGGTTACTCGTGCTCTTTAAATGAATGAATGAGTGTAGGTAAATGTGTCTACATGCACATGCGTCAGATTAGCTGCTACATTTGCCAAAATGAGCAATATCCAACAGAGCACACTTCATTACAGCAAAACTTATTATAGTGATTACAATAACTGGGTAATAATAACTAGGTACTAACCCTGAACCTACCCTACTCCTAAACCTAACCTTAACTCATGTAGTTACCATAGGTAAGTGCACATACTGTAAAACAGAGTGCAACCCATTTTGTTATCAAATCTGACCAAGAGCAAGGTGTTGTTGCTGCACAGATAAGTTTTGAGCAATATTAATAACACCATGTACATATTTTTCAGCGTGGAAGTGATTTTGTGTAAGAATTTCATTAGCCGCTATAGGCAGGTAACAAAGTGCAGTAAACGGTAAATATATATGAGCTACAAACCAGTGTGTTCATGATTAGGATGATACATTAATATAATACGATAACAAATACCAGTTTTCAGCATAACTGACTGTTTTTGTACCAGAAGCCTTACGTTCCAAAGTTACAAAAGATCGCACCTGCTCTTACAATAAATATAAGGTAGACAGGGTTAGGCTTTGGATTAGGGTTAGCTGCTTGCTGCTGTTCTTACTATAGGAAGCCCATGTAACGTGTGTAAGGAGTGTTTCCGTCTGTGTCTCACCCTCCACTGTGACAGCGTAGTGGTGTTTAACAGAGCCCTGGCTGTTCCGGGCAATGCACGTGTACTCGCCATCATCCACCTCCGACACGTTCTCGATCTGAAGCCAGCAGTTGTAGTTCAGCTTCTTGGCTCGAGCGGGAGAGAGAGGGCTGTCCATCCTTTCCCAGTGCACTTCTGGAGTTGGTCTTAATCAGAGGAAGCAATAGTTAGCAAAGCGACTGCTTGCTAGTCCAGTCAAATCAGCTCCTTCAGTGACTTTCTGAGCCCACTGATCCCTTTCCAGTGGTCAGACGAAGAATTGATGTGCAAGACCCATTCATATTTATAAAATGAACAATAATAAAACCACTAATTCATGCGAGAACCATTAATAGTTAAAACTTTGATTCATTGATGCAACTTTTCTCCTCTTCTCTAGCTTGATTCTTAATAATCCTGGCACAATACGTCTGTTTCTTCTTGGGTGATTATTGTCTCAATGTCCTGCAGTAAAATTGCGTAATGCACGGCTATCCATTATATACTGTATTACATATATATATATATATACATTACATATAGGGGCGGAGCTACGGGTGGGCCCAGCTTGTCCACCCGGTCAGATGCATGGGGATATTTTAATATTTTATTTTTAATAATACAATTTTAAATGTTTAAATTCTTCATTAATTATATGATTTGAGTCATTTGTTTCATAACAACTATAATAATAATAATAATATGCAAATGAGTCTCTTCAGTTACATTATGCTAGTAGTTATGTACTTCTTTTCGTCTATAACACAGTCTGTCTGGATTTGCGCTAGCAGCTCATTTCAATTACAAATATCTACAGGTATATAGCTATCTATGACACTTTAGAAAAACATCTCTAGACAAAGTTTTATCTGAAGCTAAAGAAACTGAGAAATGACAGGATCGTCAGTCAACTGAGAATGAAGGCGAAATGGACATGGTCTCAACATCTCGCGAGTCGGATAATATGCCCATATGAATGCTTCAGCCTTTAAGGAACCTCTCCCGCCAAAGGCTTTGGTAAATCTAAACTTTGCACCTTCGGATCTGTCAGCGAAAGAGGAACCAGCCACTCAACCGGTGTTTGGGAACATCTCTGATGGAAAATCACGCTCCTTCAGTTGTTATTGCTATGACAAGTTTAAGTGGATTGAATATAGCAAAACAAGAGATACCCTACTATTTTTTGTAAAGTATGCAGACATTTTCCTGAAGCACATAGTGAGTTTACTTTCACAAAAGACGGATATAAAGATTGGAAACGTCTCTGACAGGCCTGTAACAAACACGAGTCTAGTAAACCGCATTTTAATTGTGCTTTTTTTAAGTTTGATGCATACAGGGTAAAGCAATGGAGCGCAAAGCCGTGGGACCATGTTAAATCAGAGCCGAACCAGCAACACGTTAAAGTTGTTTTAGACATTGTTATGTCATGTGCCAAGCTGGATATTCCCCTCAGAGGACACAGGGAAACAGAAGATGCATTCCTTAATAAAGGGAATTTCATGGAGCTATTTAAATTCATATCAAAATACATTCCAATAATTTAAAATAGACTAAAGGAACAAAAAAATCACTCCTATGAGCCACCATGTTCATTGTGTAATGCTGGTTTATGTTGTAAGTGTTACCATTGTTGTGTTTCGTGTGTCGAGTATTGATGTCACATCTTTCAAAGATGTTTCTCAGCAGTTACTTCACTATTGTGAAAGATCCATCCACAAACATCTATGAATATGAAATAAATTATTGATTAATCTTCATGCTTAAATAATGCTAAAATAAAATCTTCATGCTACAAATAGTTTGACTAACTTAAAGTCGGGCAATTTGCTTGAGCCTGGTTTTGATTACTTTTATGTGACTGCTCAAGCTTTTTTTATTTAGTTTGGGGTAACAACCTCTACAGCCTTAAATGTCAGCGGAGACTATGTCAACTAGATGATCCCCAGAGACAGATCCCCAGTGAAGGCCTCATCACCTCGACGACCATCGGCACCAGACAAGTCCTCTGCACCTGTGCTGCATCCAGGAATTAAACCACACCATGCTGGTTTCGTCTGGCCAGAGGAGAACTGGCCCCCCGACTGAGCCTGGTTTCTCCAAAGGTTTTCTTCTCCATTTCTGTCACTGATGGAGTTTTGGTTCCTTTGGCTTGCTTAGTTGGGGACGCTTGACTGATTGCACAGACACTATTGAAGAGAGCTGAACTGATGATGACATCACTGAATCGTCAATGAACTGACTTTAGCTGAAAACTGACTGTTATTGTCTTCTTGCATCATTGACAATCTATTTTCCTGTTTGACACTGTAAAGCTGCTTTGACACAATCAGTATTGTATAAAGCGCTATACAAATAAAGGTGGCTTGACTTGACTTAAAATGTCAACAATTTAAAAGAATAGACCTATAAGAATGTATTAATAATCTTAAATTAATATATTTCCTAGCGGAGAGAGAGTGGTAGAGAACGCGTTAAACTAGCAGCGTAATAGAGAATGTGAAGCTGACGTCACGCCGCGTTGAATTCTGGGAAACTTTCTTTGCTTCATACTGGGAGGATCGCACTGCCTTTCCGCTATTGAGTAGTAGTTTGATTTTCTCTCGTGGCTGTGAAAAATGTCACCATTGTATGTCATTCTTGCTGCATTGAGATTTGCAATAGTAGCTCAGATAATCGTTCTGAGAGAAAACTGGACAATGCAATATGTTTTTTCGCCTTTCCTATGTGTAAAAACACCAAGGGAAGCAGGTCGTGGAGATGACGAGAAGACACCAGATAGTAAATCTATTAATAATATCACTGATTAAACCCACTGCCTATCACTCAATAAAAGAATCACATTGCCAGTGTTTTTGAAAGTTTTGATTTTGTTTGGTTTAATAATTAACATTGCCTTTTCGAGTATGACTCTCACTCAGCTTGTGAATTAGCAGAACTTGAACAGAGACATTATACAACACTCAACACAAATAACGCTTAATGTGGCTTAATGTACCAAGACAGTGATAAAGACAAAACTATAAAGCATACTACTATGTGCAGACACACATATGAGCCCAAAATGTGAACCCAACACGTTTATTTACAAGTGTTTTCCTCTCATATATAAAAAAAAAACGCTTAATGCACTGAGACAGTGATGTTAAAAGACCACATTTTGTGCACACTTTATTAATAAAGGTCTTAATCCATAAGAGAGGTGGAAGTGCTTCTGGGTCTTTCGTCTGTTCTGTAGCCGGCAGGTCGTACGGGTCGATGTTGTTGATGTCAAGCAGTTTCTCTAAATAACGCTGCTTGGCGGTGTGATTTAGTCTCTCCTGATAGAGCCCCTTTCCTTTCGCTTTCTCCTCCATTTCTTCCCAAGAATGCAAACAAATATCAAGCTGTTCTCTCTCTGCTGCTCTTTCTATTGGTCTCACAGTTGCTGTCGAAGTAACCATGGCGACGGATAGCGTATCCTGCTAATATGACTCGGACACAGAGGAGGGGTTCAAGTTCACCTGAAAGAAGCATTTTCGAAAGCAATTCCCATCAGCTCAAGTTGGTGCTTTGCACTGCTGCCAAAGTGTCTGGGGATGTGGCCAATAATACACAATGGCACGCTCAGTTCATCACGCTACAAAAGGAGATGCATCTTAACCACCAATGTATGGAACTGGAAATAACGTGCGAGACGAGATGGAGCTCAAAATCAGGGTCCATGCACAAAATATTTGATTTGCTGGATGTATTACTGAAGGCGTTAGCTGAATATGTCGAATCAAGTGATCAAACTAGAACTGTTTGAGAGCAGTGATTTTGTAACGAAAGGATAACAGAGTTCATCACTGTGGGTAACAGACTATATATTGTTGATTGAAAAACTGAAAGCTACTTATGCAGATTTCCAATGGTGACTTTGACAAAGTGCTCAAACTAACGGAGGAGTTAATGGCCAAGCATGACTGGGATGTCACTTCTTCTCGTCAGAGCAATAAATTCAACGAGTCTGCCATCACCACAACACTAGGGAAAACATCCGTTGTCAAAAACAATGATTTAAGGGTATTGTGTGGATAATCCTGTATCCTGGACAGGCAGATAGCAGAGCTGAACTCTTTAAAGAGGATACACATGGAATCATGCGAGCTTCAGCATCCCTCTTAGCTGGATCCACCAGTTTTGGCCTGAAAGAACTGCTGAAAGCCCCATACGATTTGTATGGTATTGTAGTCTGAGGTGATGAATGCACAGTTTTCACTCAACACGTCAGAGGCAAAATTGATACAGGAATGGAAAATTCCCCTCACTGATTGAAGTACTGTAGCTGTCCTCATGACATTTTCCCAAACACCAACAGTCTATTCAGGGCCATTTTAACTCTACCGATGACGTCCTGCTGCGTTGAGAGACTTTTCTCCGTAACAGTCCGGATCAAGACACGTCTGAGATCGTCAATGTTGACAAGACGCCATTACAATTTGACACTTTTGTCTTTTGAAAGAGAACTAACAGAAAACTTAGATTATGACAAAATGATCGACATCTTTCATTCCAAACCCAAGATGACAGCGACTTGTTTAAACATCTTCATCGCTACAGACACCGCTCATTCAAGGTAAGTTAAAATGGTTTTCTTAGTCTGGCCCGTCATGGCAGGATGTGCAGTATTTGCATAAATATTCATATATATTGCGTATATATTGCATATATTATTCAGGCCCACCCACAAACAACTTTCTGCATCCACCTCTGATGTATAACAGACATTATAGGCTACAAGTCTTTTCTTTCTACATTGTTACCTGTTTATTGGATTTATGTCTGCTATATGTTTAGCCATGTGTCTGTTTGTTATATTTGCACAAATGCTGTCTTAGTCTTGAGAAGAATAGTTCATAAACGCCACTGTATGTTGGATATTGAATTCTGTTAAAATGTTAATTGACAGATTATTTTTGTTTTTGTCAGCTGAAGAGTGCATGCAGATGTTTTTGCTAGTGTTTGTTTTTGATCGTAAATTCAGCGGCCATGAAAAGACATTGGCTGAATACTCACAGGCCTTCTGGGATGCACTCTAGAGTCAGCGTTTGGCCCCTGAGCACCAGATAAGAACTGTGGGATCCCGCTGGCTTTTGCAGCTGGGGCCGCCGATTTTTCACCACAGAATTTGCTGTGAAAACCAAAGAACACAAGTGAACCCCACATGTAAGTTTTATTCATTTTCAGTGTATAAACAGAATCAGTGTATAGAAAGAAGAAGATTATTTCAGCATGAAAACTCCTCTGAACCATGTAATTTGTACATATGTAACCCTGAGGCTCCGTGTCATAGTCACACTTCCCTTCATGGCTGTGAATATTCAATAATAATAATAATAATTTTAAAAAGTAAATCTTACGAACGTCACATTCCCAAATGTACAATAAACTCATAGCACATGCAGAGACTTCACTCTGAAATCAGACTGTAAAATTATTTAAATAAATCACAGCCTTTGATAATCTCACGAAGCTATTCCATGATTAATTCAATCTAATTCATCAACTCATAAACTCCCGTTTGGGAAACCTTGCCGTAGGACAAAGTGAGGTTCGTAACGAAATGGTTTAGTATGACTGGTGTGAAAAACTTGACTGGCCTGCACAAAGACCTGAACCCTAGTGAAGATCTTCAGAATCAACTGGAAGGCTCACTTCAAACCAGGCATCACTGCACAGTTGCCCAGTACTGTACCTTACTGACACTATATTGTTTAAGAACAGTGACAAAAACCAGTCATTCCAAGGATTTGTACCAAATGTTGTTTCTGTGGAACAAGTGCTTACATATAATTCACAAAAGATGGCAGTCAGCAGCAATTGTGCAGGGTTTATTTAAGCCAAAAATGTGAGACTGGTCTATTTTGATTCCACTGGCCATTAAATTACACCCAATCTTCATATGTTAGTCATATTGGGCATCAGCCATATTACCCTAAATTTTGTCAAAAAACGCTGTTTTTTATAAACACACTGGTGTATCAGGTGAGAGCATCGCATGTGTCATCACAGGAACGGACTGTCCATCAGGAGCACCAGGACCAAAGCCTGGACCCTATGAATTTTGGACAAAGCTACTGTTTGACTTGTTGTTCTTTGTAAATACAGTATGTTCAGTTCTTTAAGTAAAAAACAAAAAAAACAAAAAAAAACTATAATTAAGAGATCTGTAAGTTTGTCAGAATCAATCCTGTTTAAAATCCTGTATAACTTCTGAGTTACATATTTTATTGTCATTTGTAGCAATACATTTATAACTGCATTGGTATTATCTGTCCTTTAGCTATGTTATTTATTTATTATTATTATTATTATTATTATTATTTAATTTTAAGGGCATGATCCTCACCGCAAACTCCATGGCTCAAATAATTTTTATACCATGCTTACCATACCAAAAGTTATCAAATAATTTTTATGTAAATCATCAACAAATTTGATGGAAAGATTACAAAAAGGATTTGCTATTTAGTATCCAAATGCTATAGAATGCTATTTAGTATCCATAATTTTGCCATTGCAATGCTTGGACGAAGTAATTGCTGATGGCAGTTTTATATATTTTTTTCAACCTCTTTTAATTTTGTTGTTAACATCTCTTTGACCGTAGACTGTAAAAAAAGTTGGACGATGCGTCTCCACTTCCTTCCACTTTAGAAAAGTGAAGCCAAAACATCCCAGTATGGCCGCTGTCACTTGCACCAGTGACATCATTTGTCAGTAGTGATTCATTTGGAGCCCGAGTCTGCGCAGTAGTGATTCATTGGGAGCTTGAGTCTGCGCAGTAGTGATTCATTTGGAGGCCGAGTCTGCGCAGTAGTGATTCATTTGGAGGCCGAGTCTGCGCAGCAGTGATTGTGAGGTGGAGCCATGATATCAAAGTCCCGCCTAAACTCCCGCAGACCCAATCGCAAACTCACAATCATGACACAAATGAATACTTGAACATACATCAGCATGATAAAAACTACAACATGATGGAAATAATCTTTGGGAAAATTTTATTTGAAGTGTAATTTGATTATTTAGTTTGGCTCACTTCCCATTCGTTTACGTGGAGAGGGCGGGGTTTATGATCCGTACTGCAGCCAGCCAGCAGGGGCGATTGAAATATTTTGGCTTCACTTTTCAGGACACGTGCGGCACACTTGCTTTGAACATGCTTCAATTTCCTTCTTTTTGTTTTGTATTGTAAAGCGTCCCTTGGTTTTGTTATTGTTATATTACTTGATTTGAAACAACCTGCATATTCACATGCAGAGAGAAGAGTCATGTAACTTATCACAAGTCAGAAAGTTTACACACATGGTGTGACGCTGATGGCGATGGGCTCTTTGGGTAGGATGACGCTGGCGTTGATGTAGTGGGCATTGCAGGTGTAGTCTTCTCTGCTGTCACTGACTAGTAAGTTGGCAAAGTACAGATTTCCATCAAGACTAGTGGTCACCCGCTCATTCAGAGGGATGTGGCGCAACTCTGACAAATAAATAAATAAATAAATGAAGAGAGAGAGGGGGGGGGGTCAGTTTAATGAATTCAAGTGTTATGCAGAGCAATTTAGTTTGGCAAAAGTAGATTCAATAGAATATTTACGCATGTCCATCCAGTGTATTTTGGGAGTGACAGAACTCTTCGGAGGGTTACAGGAGAGGACTGTGCTTTCTCCCTCCTCAAACAATCTTCTTTTCTGCCTCTTCTCTTTGGCCAAGGTTGGGATGGCTGTGAAATAGCCAGAATAATTATTTAATGTATCTATTTATGCAATGTTCACTGTTTATTCAAAGGGCTCTCTCAGGTTTGTGTCTTCAGCAACTCTAATGACGTCAGTATGGTGACATTTGTCATTATAGCAAAGCAATATTCATGCATAAATGATTTCAGACTCTCACACTGGCTGTTTTGGAATGGAATACTTGAGTACTGCATACTATATGCTGTGTACTGCCTAGTTCCCTTCTTCTTTCTATGATCTTTAAACATACTTCAGTGATAAAACGTTGCAATGCTGTTGTCACATAAGCTTACAGCACTGAATGTATAATTCAGTAATTATAGTCTGGGGCATCTTTTGCATTTGAATTCAATTAGTGAAAAATGGCTTATAGGTGACCTCAGGCTCTTTCTTGTTCTGATAGTCACAGTGCTTTTGGACTGTACACTGACCTCTATCTTTCTGGAGGCACAAAGTCTGCTCACTAAATGCTGCCAATTCACATCAGTGCTATTGATCTGTCTTTCATTTTGTTTTCTCCAGCTGGCTTAAAACACACATCCATAATGGACATGGATTCAGCTATGCTGTTGACTATGCTATTGTGGAGAATGTAGTGGACCATCCAGATATGCATACAAATATGTTGCATACAATGCACAGGTAACCATACTGTATACTACAGATGTGTTAAATATAAAAATAATATAAAATAATCACATTTTGTTGCTTTGCAGCCTGAAATGAAGATGGACACAGTTTTTGTTTTATTCAGCTCTATTTACTCAGTGCAACTTATAACATCCAAGAGAAAGATAAAACACCAACGTGTCAGAAAAAAAATAAATAAAAAAACAGAATCACTGAGTTGGAAAAAGGATCGCCCCATTGTGTCAGTATTTTGTTGAAACACCTTTTGCTTTTAATTACAGCCTTTAGTATGTTTGGATTTGTCTTTACTAACTTTGCACATCTAGACTGTGCAGTATTTGCCTGCTCTTCTTTGCAGAACTGCTCAAGTTCAGTTCAATCTGAAGGTGAGTGTTTGTGGACTGCAGTCTTCAAGTCCTTCCACAGATGTTCAGTGGGGTTTAAGTCTGGGCTCTGACGAGGCCATGCAAGGACATTCAGCTTTTTCTCCTTCAACCACTGTGTGTCCGTTCTGCTGTGTGCTTTGGGTCATTGTCGTGTTGGAGGGTAAACCTTCTTCCCATTGACAACTTCTGGCAGAGGGCTGCAGATTTTCCTCAAGAATTTGATGGTATTTTGCCCCGTCCATTTCTCCTTCTATCCTGACGAGTGCTCCAGTCGCTGCTGCAGAGAAACACCCCATAAAAGGACATCAGCACCTCCATGCTTTACTGGAGGAATGCTGTTATCTGGATACTGAGCTGTGTTGGATTTTATCGTTTGGTGTTGAAGCCAAATAATTCAGTTTTAGTCTCATCTGCCTCAGAATCTTCAAGGTGTGTTTTAGCAAAGCTCAGTCTGACTGCATGTGGCCTTTCATGAGGAGCGGCTTTTTTCCATTCAAGCCACGTTTGTGGAGAATTTGTGATATTGTTGTCACATGCACACAATGACCACTCTGTGTCATAAACTCCTGCAGCTGCTTCAGAGTTGCTGTAGCTCTCGGTTGCCTCTCTGAGCAGTTTCCTCCGGCTCTTTCATCAGTTTGGAGCGATCTCCTGATCTAGGGAGGGTCTGTGTTGTACCAAATACCTTCCACTTCTTAATAATGGACTTCACAGTGCTTCTAGACATTGATAAAGCCTTTGAAATGTTTTTGTGTCCATCTCCTGACTTGTGCCTGTCCACAACTTTAACCCGGAGATCTTCTGACAGTGCCTTGCCACCCATGGCTGATTGTTTGCTTCAGTTGCGCTACCAAGGACTGAAATACTTCAGGAAAGCTCTTTTCATGCTGAGCTGATCAAAATGAGCACAGCTGAAAGTCAAATGGGTTTGTGTGCCTTTGAGAAGCTGATGAGCTGCACCTGATTGAGTTTACAAGTCATTTTTAGGAGGGGCGATCCTTTTTCCAACTCAGTGATTCTGTTTTTTTAATTGTTTTTTTTTTCTGACATGTTGGCTGCAACGCAACAAAATGTGATTATTTTAAAGGGGCTGATTCTATTCTATTCCCACTGTGTGTA